TAATTTATTCCTGTGATGGCAAAGATCATTGTCACATGATCCTTCAGAAATTATATGATAATATGCTGATTTGGTGCTTATTATCAATGTTGAAAACTGTGTTGCACTTTTTTATAATGAATAAATTAATAGTAAGTTAAAAAATACAACATTTATATGAAATCTAAATCTTTTGTAACACTGTAAAATACTTTATTGTCATTTTCGATCAATTTAATTTATTTTTTTAATAGTACTGACCCCAAACTTTTAACCGGTAGTGCATATTAAAAACTATTTAAGAAATTATACATCTTAGATCATAAATCATACATCAGCCTTAAGAGAATATGACTATATTTCATATCAAAACGTTGCTCAAAGGTACACAAACAGTTTCATACAACACAACTAATTTATAGACGAGGTATTTTTCATTTAGCCTATACCTGCAAAGCCAGACTGCAGAAACTGATCAACTCTGTCGAGACATTTGGACACACAATGTTCCTTTGCAGTGATGCCTTGATACAACTAGACCACCCAGACCAGTGTCCTTCTCGTGGAAAACCCTTACCTAACCCTCACAACAACATCTGACACAACATACACACAGATTTATTTATTACACATAAAAGCGCTCCTTTGTTCTGGCTATTCGTGCACATCTTTGTGTGTTTTCCCGCATTCACTCACCCGAAGTCCTGGTCCATAGACTTGAAGAAGAATTTGTAGTTCGGCTTGTTCAAGACCTGTTTAAAATCCAGCAGAGTGATTTTCTCAGCCGCTATGGGAATCTTCACCAAGTACGGCGTCTCCTCTTCGTCAATGTGATAAATTATTTTAGTCTCCGCCATGTCTCCCAACTCAACTCAACTTTCCCGTTGTTCTACGAAAGTATGGAAGAGGCAGCAGCTATGCTGCTAATGTTAGCCAGCGCTCCGGAGAGAAGGGGGTTGAGAAAACTCGTCTAGACCACAATACTACTATCCAATAACACTGTCCTGACTAGCGCATCCAGCATAAACAAAGAAAACAACGCTATTGTTTCTAACTTTTGGTGTCTTGAACGCTCAAAACTGTCATGATTTCTGTTAAAATGTTACAAACACACCTACAACCAGCTACTCTGTAACAACATTTCCCTCGTACAAAAACACATGGGGGATTTGAAATACTTCTCGGCTCGGGCCAGCGAGGCGTGTGACGAAAGAGAGGCGCCCGCAGGCCTTCCCACTGGTCCGCTTGTACTGGGGCATGTCCAAATGAGTGCTTTTGTGGAAACTTACTACTGTAGGTAGGAATTTTGTTTCATCCCAGTGAATAGAATCTTTTGAATCAGTTCACTAAAAGATTTGTTTACGAACACTTTCTGCAGGTTACGCCAGTAGGTGGCAACTGTTGTGTTACTTATAAGTAAAGTGAATCATTCACTCAACCATTTCACCAAATCGTTAATGTTGTGTTGTGTTGTATTACACACCGCTCTGAGCCTCGCTCATATTCAAAACCGACTGGTTGTGTGGGGCCATTGAAATTAATAAAACCCACCCTCAAGGTCTTGATTGACAGACTGTATTAGGCGATGGAAATGCAAGTGCAAATGGGATTGCGATTCCATTTGAATTTTGTGAGGGTTGGAGCAGCACGCGGAGAAAGTGAAATAGCAAATGGGTGATTTTCTATTGCTATTCCAAAATGACAGAATCATAAGACGTTGGAAATGCAACTGCAAATGGACTTTGTGTTTCCATTTTAAATTTGTCAGATATGTTACATACACGGAAAAGAAAATGGAAACACAAATGCACGATTTGCAATTGCGTTTGGATTAGGTCTATGTCACAATGTGTGCGTCCACAAATTGAAAACGCAATTCCAAATAAAATTTGCAATTCCTTTTGAATATTGTCCGGAATATCATTCCATAGGCTACTATAGTCAAGCATTGAAGACAGGAAAACAGTCACGCGAAAGACAATGAATCTAAATGATAGCGATTCGTTCAAAACATGATTTTATATTTTTTGTGATACTTTTTTTCATGTATATTTACAGTATAAAAGCCATTTACTAGCCTATTGGAAATGACATATGTCGAGTTTTTGAGTTGGTCTATTTAATAATGATATGACAAATTGTTTTCGATAAAGTTTATTTTCCCATTCTGACAACTTGTGACAAACATGATACGTTGTCACAAAATCTATGTCTGTTAAATCACTTTTTTTCAATCAACTGAATTGATAAGGGCATTATTTGGGCGGCATTATGCAAATATTTCCACATAGTGAGGTAGATATGTGGGGGCGTGTTAGAACGAGCCGTTTTAGGG